TATATAAACCAGTGCTGTAAAGGTTCAAAGCATAAAACAATAAATAATACCATCTAAAATAGGACATCAGTAATTATATATTACCGAAAACAAGATAAAAATAAAGGAAGTCTGATAGCACGTTTCTGCCTTGATAATGATGGCGCCGTTATGGGTCTCAAAGTTCTCCGTCTGTACCATATCTGATTGTCAGTTTCGTACTATAATATATCTGTTACTTATATTCAGCAACTATTATTCTGCCTCTACTATTATTTACATTGTTGGCGTTTTCAGCATTTACTGATGCAAGGATACAACTCAGAAACATTAGAGACAAGAACTTTTGAATCCGTGCACTAATAAGAGAAATTTTGTATTTATATTCACTCTCTGCTTAATCCTCTTCATTTAATAGTTGAACTGATTTTGTTTAAGAAAAAAGTTTCACAGAATAACAATACGGTTCTCAGAAGATATGTAAACCACTGGAAACTGTCATGTTGGCTTTTGTGATGTTCGTTGTATTTTAAGCCTTTCGATATGTTTACTAGAAGGTAGGTGATCTTACTCAATGCCAGCACCACGCTTGACAGGAATCTCTAGTAGCCAGGTGCGCTGCTACTGGTGTGGTCCAGCTAGATGTTTAGCCTTCAGACTTAGGGTCCACGTTTCGCACCGATAGGTTAGGACTGAGAACATACATTGTTAGAAAACTGAATTTCAAGGACTTAGATAGTGTCCAGGATGAGAATATCTTCATTCTTTAAAAGGTACTCCATGCAGTGTTTATTCTACTGTTGATTCCATATGATTGATTCTCCATTACAGAGAAAAGCTATCCAACAGGACGTAGTTTTGCACCTCATCAAGCCTAATTTAGTTCAGTTCAACAGGTAGAGAGATTGCGTTTTTTTAAGGTTGACCTGATTCTTCGGATATATTTCTGGTACTACCTCGATGTTGGGTTGTTCAGTTCTTGGATTATTCAGTGGCGTTTTCCACGTGACATTCAGGAGATCAGAATATCGTCCGCAAGTCGAAGCTGGCTTAAGTAGTGACCATTTCCGTTCATCATCTAATTTTTCTAACGGGGTGTCCTGAAAGCCTCTTCTAGGGCTTCTGTCAGTTAATTCGGTGACATTCCGTCTTTCTGTTCGATTTGAACTTTCTTGTGTTTTTGTGGAGCTT